TCGCTTTCTGTCTCTAACGAATCTCTCTCTCTGTCTGGCGAGCGCACGCGCCCTATAGTGAAAATCTCTCCAAAAAAAAAAAAAATTAAAACCGGTCTAAAAACAGGGCAAGATGGTGGCACAGCAATAATCCAACTAGACTTGCGTGAGAAAGTCCCAGGTTTGCATGCTAAGACTTCCCTCTACACACTGGAGGTATGCATCCCTACCTGCAATCCCAGCTGGCTGAAACTAGAGTGGATTGTGGTGTGGGGGTGTGTGCCTCTTCCAGAAGAAATAAACTTGAAAAAATAAAAACTCAAAAGCCTAAAAACTGATTCATGACAAGGATTAAATTCAGGAATAGAACAAGTGCAATGTATGGATTTCTTCCAAAGTCACCCATTCAGCCACTATACAATTAAATATATCCAGAAAAGCTCTTAGGAAAAATATTAATGTTAAAAACAAAATATTTAGTACTTCTCTCATTAGGGTTTGTGTGTATTTTGGTAATCTATCTTTTCTTAACTACAGGGCACATGTTCTTGCCAGAAAGTGAGAAAGTATTCCCCCTCGCCCCCAGAAGGGAGAGTCACACTGCAAATCCCTTCTCATCCATTTTCCTCTTGGGATTTTGAGCATGCACACATAGGCAGCTGCTAGGTTTGAGACTTGAACCATGCACTTGAGCATGTGAGATCCAGCTGCCTCAACCACATCACAGGTTAGCCCTAGGTAAAACAATTTTTAATGAAATTAGTTCTTCCCTCTAAACCACTATGCTTAGAAAAAGAATAAAATATTTTGAGGAAAATTTAGGGAGAACTAGCAAGAACAATCCCTAGGTAAGTTAGAGTATAAGCTTCCAAATACCACAGATCATATCCATTTCGTTCACTAATATGCCCACACATAACATGTAATGGGCATTAAATTTTATACACACATGTATACACATGCATACATTCCCCCTGCCCCCCCCCACACCCAAGGGCTTCAAAATGTTCAGAGAAAATGGAATTAAAGTTTATCTTCATGCAAAAATTTTAAAATTTATGCAGTTTTCTTATGTCAAGATCTTTTATTTGTAATCTTTTTTTTCCCCCACAAATGTAATGGAAAATGAATACAAATTTAAAAACAAAAGAATTAAAGGTTTTGAAAGTAACAGGTAGTAAAGTAAAAGGGAACAGGATTTTTCAATCTGAAGGACAGCAAAGAGGAGAAAAACAAAGAGAGAGTAACAGGAAATGGGTCTAAATGCAGTAAGTTGGGGCTTACCACTACTTAGAGGCCAGCAGGTGTCACAGTGGTTAAGGTGCTGGACTCCCACCGTGTGACCAGTTTGAGTCCCAGACCAGGCAGCTTGAAAATCATGCCAGGTGCGTGTTTGTCCACGTGTGCGCCCAAAATTCCAGAGGAATAGAGAAGGGACTGCAGTGTGGCCATCCCCCCTGGGGTAATTTCTCACTTTCCCTCACTGTCTGTTTCTTTCTGGTGAGTATACGCACCCTATGGCAAAAACCATAAAATAAAAAAATTAAAATTAAATTTAAAAAATTAAAATAAAATAAAATAAAATATAACCCTGCTCAAGTGTGAGAACCCATGACAATGGGTCATGTCAATCCTGTCATTCTGCAATGTCTAAATATGTATAATTTGTAAACAAGAGTAGATAAGAAAAATGAAACATTAACATTAAAGTACTACTTAATGAATTCTGCCTTAAAACTTATTCCCTCGATGATGGAAAATTGAAGGAGCATGAATCAAAACAAAGTGAAAATCCAAATCACTTTTTATTAGAATCACTACCAACATTTTATCTGGCGTACCCCCCCCCACTTCCCTTTAAGCCTAGCATATCAGACACTGCTTTATAGATTGTGCATATATTGAAATAAGATCTGCTTGGTTCCAAGCCATAATTTAATAAATTAGTTATAGACCAGTAAAGAAAATAAATGGGCTTCAATCAGAATATATTATGGTATGTTTGAGTATGATTGCTAAACTTCATTTAATAATATACTAATGTGAAGGCTAATCTAATAGAGAAATGTTTTTAAGTTATTGGTGAATCTTTTTCATTTACTTATAATTTAGGGTTTTTTTCAAAGTTTATGAAAGGTAGGACTGTAGAGCTTTCCCCAAAATACATCCATGTGATACTTTTCCAATATACTAGTCAGAACAGAGCCTTAAAACAGTTCTATGTATTGGGTTGTCGGAAAAGTCATGATGCATTTTTGCATAGAAAAACGTATGTCATGACTTTTCCAACAACCCAGTACTTCATACAGTAAATAGCCACTTACTGTGATTTTTAAAAATATGTTCAAATATCTTTTCCATTTATATTTCAGTGATATCCAATCGTTATGTACAGAATAATTTCCTGTGAGTGATTCTTACCGGACAAAATGGATACAAAGTAGTTTTTATAGTCTTTGCAATTAATCTTTTTCCCAATACTATTAATATGCTGAAAGAACATGCCACTGAAAAAAATTAACATTCAACTTGCTGGTTTTAATCTTTTAAAAGTGAGTCTAATTTTACTACAGAAAGTTGTCATCAACATAAACATGGGAAGTTATGCATTCTCCCAAATGTATTGTCATCAGGTAAAAATTCATCTAGGCAAAATAGTATTTATGCTTCCATTTTATTGTTTTTAAGAATTAAACTGCCACCTCAGTAGTCTTAAGAGCAATATAATGAAACATACATACATTTAATTTAGACTTATGTCCATCATAGTGTCAAAGGCTTCCCTGAAATAAGGCTGGCATTCACATCTTTTTCCTTAAAAAAAGAAATACTAACAGTATTTTGTTATCCTTCTACCCACCCACCCTCATTCAAACAATTCCTGATAAATTCAAGTCTAAACACCATTTAAGAATTTTGCCTGCTACAAGACATCAACTGCCTTCCTGCGAACATGTATTTCTTAAACCCAACTGAAAATAAATCATTTTCAAAAAGCCTACAAGAATCCTCTTAAGTGTGGCATTCTACTATGATTTTTTTTTTTTTTGGTCCAATGCACAGGCTAAGTTATTTTTTGCAATATTCAAACCCTAGGGAATTTCAATAAAAGCAGGAGAGCTCTTCCTAAATTGAGATGCTCTACAGTGAATTTGGCTTTCTTATGTGAATCAAAGAATGGTCTGGGTATTTAACAGAATATTTAACAGTTTCTAAATAGGGGCATGAAAAGGAATCAAGTTTGCACCAGTCCAAGTACCTACAGTAACATGATAGAAGCACTCACCAATCAACATTTCACACTATTTCACTCCCATGCTTCTAATCACAGGCATTTCTCACTAGAAATATTGTGTTAACACTGACTCTCAAACTGCTAAGAGTGACAAAACACTTGTTTAACTTAAAATAGATTGGTTATTTTCAGGTGGTCAAGGTTGAAATGGCCATTTATACTATTTCTATCTTTTGCTCTAAATTCAGAAATGATTTTGCTTCAGATCATCTAAGATGAAAATTTGTTTTACCTGTACCCGACAGAAAATGGTAAATTAGCAATCAGTTCACCCATTGTCAAAAAATGTTCTAAATTTATATACTACAAACTAATAAAAGCTATATCTGCATACTACACATTTCATGTTTTTGTTATGCACCATTTTAGAGGGAAGGAAAAACTTCACAGGGGTTTATTCAAAGGATATATAATAATATCCTAAGAATGGTGATTTATACGTACGAGTTCTATATAAACTGTAAGTGGTCATTAGCTGGGCTGTAACAAGTCCTTATAATGCAAAAGCTGACTCTAAAGGCACCTTGTAAAGCACTGAAATTCACAATTTAGTCATTATCTTATCTTCTCCAATAGCAAATTACCTCTTCACTGTTGACTTCATGCTAAAATATTCCAAGTTGAGACTGATTTACCAACAAAAGTAACAGGAAATAGTTTTAAAAATTTAAGTTGGAGGAAGAAACTTTATCACGCAGCAATGAAACCTGAGCAAATGCAAGTTTGTGATTATAAGAAAATGTCCTTCATTAATACATTATTTGGATTCTTCCATGGCATTCAAATTGTAGTTTAAAATCCAAAAACAAGAACCCACCTAAGCACAGGATGAAATTCTACCATGAAATGAGGAATTATATAAAGCCTATTCAGCCCTAAATACTGAGTTTAAGACAAAGAAGAAAAACAAAAAACAAAAAAACACCTCACCAAAATAACACCATTTAAACAGTTCTATAAGATAATATCACTTAAGATTAGTAAATGTGGTGTATCACATGATTCTAACCATTCAGTAAAAAAGCATTAGTAATGAGTAACAGTATCCCACCACCAGCTTGGAGCGTACAGAGTGGATTACTTTGGCCATATCTTTCCAAATAATCAGTAATGCTTTCTTTAATACTACGAACATAAATGAATCGTAGCACTGGAATTCCAATGTCTTTTGGTGCTCCTGAGGTTGCCTAAAAATGAAATGGCATCCAAGTGAAGTGCATTATATACTTACTATACCTCACCACTTCAGTGCCTAAAATGTCAAATAATTCTCTACCATTTAACAGTCTTCCTTACAGCAAATTCTAGTAGATTTGTACTTTTAGAATTTTATTGTAATTTTGGGAATTAGTGGTAAAACATATGGTTTTTAAAAAACAGTATGTGGCTGCACTTAATTTCACATAAAAATAGCATTTTTACAACCATATTGAAATTTAATCCTTTTACACAGGTTAACAAAAAGTATCACAAGAAAAACTAAACATTGGGTTTAACAAAAGCAGTATTTTTGAAAGTGAAACAATGAAGGGTTTTTTTTTTCAATTTTTTTTTTTTTTACAAATGGTCATCTCTGCATCAATTTATCACACTAGGGGAACAAAGTTGTTAAAATATAACTGTGCTCGGCTGAGCCACTTATCTGCACTACAGTGTAGTACTTGAAATCAATCCTAAGGTTGAGATTTCAAACCATTTTCAGAGACAAAACCCTATGTGTTTGTTTTATAGCCTCCTCAGTAAGAGGTACTTTTCCTTCCCCAGACAGTCAAAGCTTAATTAAAAGATTGACTATACATAAGTTTTTTTCCTTATCATATGTTCAGTTCAAAATACTATTATCATTGGTAATACGGTCTATATCTTGTCTGATCTGGATGATGTGGTCCAGGAAGTGGGGTTTGAGAAGGCGGACCCTGCATTCGTGGAGGTGGTGGTGGCCCTCTTGGTGCAGGCCATATACCAGGACTCATTCCCCCTGGCTGTGTAAATGGAGGGCTCAGAGTTCCTTGATCTTCAGTGAACTGGGGTAAAGAGTTAGGATTATAATGGTGAGGGGGGGGTGCAGTTACAGGTGGACCACCATGTTGAGGTGGGGGAGGTCCTGGAGGAGGATGATTCATATAAGGTGGCATCTGGGCAATGATATGTCCAGGGGGAGGGGTTATTGGTGGTGGAGCAGAGGTCATTGGTGGAGGTGGAGCTTGGCTATATACCAAGTGAGGAGTACCTGCGGCCTGGGGAGGATGTGGCATTGGATGGCTTATTGGTGGTGGAGGAGGTGGGGGTGGTGCATAATGTTGCTGTGGAGGCATAATATGATGCGGGTGCGATACCACTGGTTGACCCTGATATTCAGGATGATGGTGAGCAGGTGCTGGGGCAGGAGGTGGTGGTTCTCTAGCACCTGAATTTGAGTCATCCTGAATAGGGACGGTTATTAAATTGCTGTGTTTCCTTGTTGAAATACGAAAGGTTTCCTGACTGACCGAACGAGGTGGAGGCGGAGCCATGGACAATTCTGCCGGGGGAGCACGAATATCCTCATGTGGCTGATTATAGTGCTCATGTGGCACATGTTGCAAAGGAGGAGGTGGCATCATGATGTGCTGCTTTGGCGGAATATGGCTCATATGATGCTTGTCTGGTGGCATTATAAAACGATCAGGGATTTCAGCTGGTGGTGGGGCAATAGGAGGATGAACATTTTCAAGTGAAGCACGGGTAACAGGTTTTCCAGCTCTCATATGGCGATGGTTGATATGCGCCTGTAAGTCTCTCTGAGATAAATACGTTCTCTTGCACCCTTGAACAATGCTACACATGAAGAGGGAACCTCGTGTACACTGCTCAATTCGCTGCACAGGATCGCTACAGCTAAATTAGAAGGGGAAAAAATTTGATTTACTAAAAAGAGAATACAAAAAGTCTGCACTCATTTTCAATAATATGCCTATGTTAAAAAGTTCAATTATATGAGCTACACATAAGTTCACAATTGAAAGTTAGTTACTCTAAGTCAACCTTTAAATATTCCCCACTTTGTCGTCTATTATTAAGCACCAGAAGCATTTCTATCAACCTCAGAACACTTAATACAAGAGTAAATTTTGAAAGTATTAATCAAACATAATATGTTTTAAGAAGAGACCTTATTCTCCCCAAGACCTAGAATTTATCTTATTTTCTCAACTAATTCTACGTTCAGTATCCATTTGCAAAAACATCCAGGATGAACAAATCAAATCACCTATCTCTTGCAATCATGGAATTTAAACCTGTAAAGTATTATTGAGTAATAAATATCTGCTGAGCAAATAATACATTAAGCGGGAAAGACTAGATGTTGCTGCAAAGACTACAATGAGTAAGATCATCCTAATCGTCAAGGTTCTTAACATTAAACAACATAAACAATTTAAATTCAAACCTTCACTATCAAGAGCCCTTTAAGAAAGGATGTTTTGAATCTCATGCTTTCCTGCCTTTCTAAATTGTGAGCACTAAATTTAACTTCACATTTTCTTAACGACTCATGGTCAAACTTTTAACTATTCTAATCCTTCATTTCACTATACTTAATCCATTCTTGCCTTTAGTCTTCTTGATGTAGCAGAAAAAGGAATGAACCAGAAATCTAAAGATCTGGGATCTAAGTAATGACTCTGCAATTCAGAGAAGTCATTATTAAACTGTTTTGAGTTTGTTTCTTCACTTGTAAAATGGGGTTACTCTACCTAATAATGTTTTTATTATCTTTTCACCTTTCTTAAACAGCACTTTTAAGAGTAAATGAAACAATGAAAGTGACAGCATTTAATCACCAGTTAAATATCACATAAGCATTGTTGTAGTCACTATTTCTGACTGTGTGACCCTGCATAACTAGCTCATACTCCGGATGCAGAGTTGGGTCTATTTTTCCATCCTTGTTATAAGACTGGCACTCCTTCTTGATACTGGTCTGCTTCCCTTTAGTAGCCATCTGACAATGCTCCTTTTTCTTTTTCTAATTCACTATAAATTCAGAAATATCTCCACATTTATAGGATGTGAGACACTTTTGGGTGATGCTTAAAAGCAGCAGAGTATATAATATTTACATTAACTCTGGTTGCTATTTTCTTCAGTTCCTGATCTGGGTCTGTTAATACAGATAGGATTCCATCCTAAGGTCTACACAAGTAGAGTACATACTGGAGTTTGAGTAATTACAACCTTGAAAATGAAATTTCCTTTTAAACAAGTGATACTTCTATAACTTCATAACTCTTCTACAGAAAAAAATTCTGTATACCCACAGTATAGGTTTTAAAATACATTACTTCAAAAAGATAATAAAATTATGCCAAGAGAATTAGCTCTCATTGGGTTGTTAATGAACCAATCCTTTCTCTCCTAGTGATACCTATTTTCTTATATCAGAAAAGAGAACTATTCATTCTTAGCAGTATTATCAATTGACACTAAAAATTCTGGAGTAGCTTCAAGCACAGGCTATAAGGAACCTAGAAAGCTCAGGGTTGCTCCAAGGAAGTTTTATTTTTCAAGCTGTCCTTATCGGAAGTTCTAAATTGAAAAATTCCTAGTTCATTCTGGTTTAAGACTATCCCACAATGGATCCAGCTCTTCAAAATTTGAGTCTAGGTCATGGCAGTGTTCTAAGACATACTCAAGACAAAATAATCTGATTTGGAGGTAATTACAGCTGACACTTATATAGTAGTTACTATACACCATGTATTAGGTAACTTGGGGCTCACAGAGAAAGATTAGCCACCATGCCTATACATTTGATCTTCTGCCCGGTTTACATCTTGATCCAGTTTACAAATAATTACAGCACAAACTTTTATTATTTAAAAATGTAATTATGATTTTATCTTACCCTGGACACATCTTATCTCCCTTTTTTTCATGTAAAATAGCACAGTCATAGCAAAAAACATGCTTGCATGGAATCTGTAAACAAAGACATTTTATAGTTAAGAGTATTAGAACAACTTCAAACAGTTCCATAAAAAAATAATAGTAAGTGCAATGACCTACACATACAGGGCACCTAAGTATGGTTTTTTTCTTCTTTTTTTTTTCCCCCCCATAGAAAACTTTGCAACAGAGAACTTTTTCTGTCTGTCAAATATTTCCTCCCCGTGAACCTCACATGTACCCTCCACCACTCACTCTTTACTATCTACTCTCCCCACTTACAGTCTCTTGCATTCACACCCACCCTTTCTACCATCTTATCATCAGATCTCTTAACCTCTGCTATAAAGTACAGTCACTCAGTAGCAACTTAGTGGGGATATATAATGTGTATCTTTCAAAGTCTGGCCCACACTTACTCACCATTAAGTCTCCTATACAAGACTGTAAAAATAAATATTTATTAGGTACTAATTATATAAAAGTAATAGTTAAACCTCTGTCAATCACAAAGCCTTTTGACAATCTGATGAAAATGTTGGCTGTTTTCCTAATAAATGTATACATGCACATTTCTCAAACTTTCTGGTGGTGTAAACCCTGTAACTTTCCCCCATCACCCATGTACCATCCTGCAGGCCAAAAACTCTTGAAGAGCAAAGTAACCATCTTAGCCTGTTTCTACTGAAACTATTCCAAAGCAGTAAAATAACAACTATCTCCTACCATGTCCCTCTGGTAGCTGTAAGATAATAAACCCTATAAAAACCTAAAATAAGTCAGAAAGATATGGTAAAATGGTGTCAGAATCCCATTTTTAAACTCACAGCTTATCACTAGAACTTTGCTATGATATATACCAAAGCAAGAATGCACATCTATGTCATTTACCACCACAGATGTATTATTAAATCAATTTTTTTTCAACCAGAAATGCAAAACTATCGTTTGTTGAAAGAGAATATGTTAAAATTACTCTAAAATTACAGGTAGAGTTGTAAAATTTTATTTCATGATTAGAATCCAATTTTCAACTGGAAATATTATTTATTCAGTTTTATAAAAAAATATGGCCTTTGGAGGGACCAGCAGTTAGCGTAATGGCTATGTCGCTGAACTCCCATGTAGTCGACCGTGGTTCAAGTCCTGGACCCGGTGGTTTAAATTCAAGCCGGGCATGTGTGCGTGCATGCCCAAGATCCCGAGAGGAGAATGGAGGAGAAGGGTTTGCGGCATGACCATCCCTTCTGGGTTGTGATTTCTCGCTTTCTATCTCTCTGTCTCTCTGTCGAGTGCACGTGCCCTATAACAACAACAACAACAAAAAACCTCTCCAAAAAAAAAAAAATATATATATAGCCTTGAAATGAGTAACTGATTTATTCTGTTCTGTTTAAGAAAAACATTTTCCTCAAAAAGTAGAATATATGTAAACTAAATGGTATTAGTCCAAAGTTTCGTTTTCAAAAGTTAGTATCCTTAATTAATTACTATTTTATAATTCAAGAACCTGTCAGATACTAATAATTTTATTGAACTCATAGCGTTCCAAAAGTTCTCTTAGCTATTTTCTACTTATTTAAAATGTTACAGACTTAGTCATAAAAAAAGATAAACTTATTTAAATTTAAGAATTCCACCTCTATGCAAACTCTTACATTTACAAAAACAAGATTTTATTTAATTATACTTACCATTCGTCCATAGATTTTAATTGGTAATCCACATTTGTCACAGAAATGAACTGGTGTATCATCCTTTTCACCTAAGATGTTTATCTGTTGAAATGATATAATTAAAATTTCCCTCTTAAGCAACTCTAAAAATTGTTTACATAATGAATTGATTAGTATTTTATAAAAGTTGTCAGAATTAGAAATAGCAATTTCTTGGTATAATCTCAACACATTCATGACCATTAGTTTATTCTTCTTCTTAATGTTAATAGTTATTGATCTTATTTGACTTTACTGAAAACTTTCATTTTTAGTTATACCTGAAAGTCCCAAAAAAGGTGTCCAGGAAATCTTCGCTGATTTCCAAATAATTCGCCCCCTTTACAGTCATACCGTTCTTCTTCATTATAATCAAATCCTTCTGATAAAAGAAAATGTTTCTCATTAATTTTTCAAATCTCAAATTTCATTTTAGAAATACATATACATGGCAAATAGGCCCATGCACGAAATCCCACTGATGTCTTTTGAAGCTTTTCTAAGAACGAGATAACCAAAAGTGGTTTAAAACATTGGCTAGAAGTGGCTGTGGTATTCATCTAGTCCAACTGTATTATTTCATCAGTGAGAATATTACAGTTTAGAGATCCACAATAACATAACACACAGAAGATTAGTGGAAAGCCAGGAACCAACCTCAGATCTCGACTCCCACACAAGTGTTCTTATCAATTTATCAGACTATCTCTAGTATAAAAGTTTACTGATTGCCATAGACATGCTTGTTGCACAAATTTTTAAGATACTGAACACCATTTATTCTAGTCTATCTATAAACACAAGTGACTGACTTTACTGCCAACAGAATACAGTAGAAACAAAGAATTCTGCAGGTTTTCGTATTACTCTGTAAATTAGGTAACCTCTTCTTCAGTGCTAAACTGAGTCTAATTTTTGGAACAATAGACATATTAAAATGTCATCTTTTCAATGAAAAATCTCTCCCTGGTCACCCAAACAGAAAGAACCACATACTTTCTTACAAGTATCCTCTTCTACACTGCATCTATCAATGTCAATAAACTTAAAACAATGTGAAGACAAAATAGGCTCAATTTCTTGGCCTAATTAAAAAGTTGACAGTAGGGGACCAGCAGGTGGTGTAATGGCTATGTTGCTGGACTCCCATGTAGTTCAACCACGGTTCGAGTCCTGGACTTAGTGGCTTAAACTCCATCAGGCGCATGTGTGTGCACGTCCAAGATCCCAAGAGGAGAATGGAGGTGAATGAAGGGAAGGGATTGCGTTGTGGCCATCCCCCCAGGGGTGATTTCTTGCTTTCTGTCTTTCTCTGACTTTAGGGCAAGCACATGTGCCCTATAGCAAAAACCTCTCCAAAAAAATAAAAAAGGTTGACAGTAACCCAGCAGGTGGCATGGTGGTAAAGGAGTCTGGGTCCTTTTTTTTTTTTTGAGAGGTTTTTGCTATAGGGCACGTGCGCTCGCCAGACAGACAGAGAGAGACAGAGAGACAGAAAGCGAGAAATCACCCCCCAGGGGGGATGGTCACGCCGCAATCCCTTCTCCTTCATTCTCTCTCAGGATCTTGGGCATGCACGCACACGCGCCCGGCGTGAGTTTTAAGCCATTGGGTCCGGGATGCGAACCGTGGTCGACTACGTGGGAGTACAGTGACATAGCCATTACGCTAACTGCTGGTTCCCAAGGAGTCTGGATCCTAAAAGGCCAACTATGGGTCCAGAAGAATGGCTTGAAAAACATGCCGATCACATGGTGCACGCCTACTCAAAATCCCAAAAAGAGACGGGATAGCGGCATGCCATTTCCCTGCTGATGGTTTCTCACTTTCTCTGTGTCTCTCCAGCAAGTGCATGCACCCTGTAGCAAATGTGAAAACAAAACAAAACAAAAAAGTTGATGGAAATCCTCTCAGTCTTCTCATCTCATACAAAAGAACCAAATACCATCAAACAGTCTGATGAACATTCTAGGTAGATCCAATTACTTAAAGTAAACCTAAGGAAACAAATATATCCTTCCAGGGTACAAGACTTCTCAAAGAGTGAGTATTTGACTACATAAATCTTCAGGTTCTCTACAACAAAAAGTTCACATACAGATTGAAAAGATAAATGGGATATATACAATATATAACAAAGAGCCCATTTTATTAATTTACAAAGAACTTGTGAAAAATCAAGAGAAAGATTACCAAATAAAAATAAGAAATACATAAGAACAAGAAGACCTCGGGCAAAAGACATATTCAATACTATGAAAAAACATATATCACTCATAATTAAAGAAGTTTAAAGCGAAACAAAAATTTTGAAGGTTAAGAGTACTCAATACTGGTATGTGGGAGTATAAACTAATACTTTTTTGAAGAGCAATTTGATAATATCTGTCAAATTCTAAAATAAACAATATAAATCAAGTTTTAAAATGTATAAATTTGAGGCCAGCAGGTTGTGTGGTGGTTAAGGAGGCTGGATCCCACATGGCCAACTGTGTGGTTCAAGTATTGGACAGGGTGGCTAGAAAATAATTCAGGATATGTCTGCATACATGCCCGAAATGTCAAAAGGGGGCTGAAATGGAGGAGAAGGGAGTACAGTGTGACCATTCCCCATGGGAGGATGGTGCTTCTCACTTTCCCTCTTTTTCCTTCCGGTGAGCACACATTCTCTCTTGGTAAACTAAAAAAAGAGAAAAAAAAAGTTCAAATTTGTGCACATGCACATTCTACAAAGTATGTAAAGTACATATACATATTAAGCTATATGTGTAAGAATATTTACTGCAACATTATAAAAGTGAAACAGAAAAATTATGGTATATACATAAATATCTAAACCTATTTTTTTTAAGAATTATTTTATTTAACTTAATTCATCATTATTATCTTTTTCATTTAACCAGAGAGAAGGAAAATGAGAATGAAAGTCACCAGGCCCAAGACTTGAACCACAGTCAGCCATGTAGGAATCCAGTGCCCCAATCACCATGCTACTTGCTGGCTCCTAAACCTATTTTTTTAAAGAATTATTTTAATTTAATTTTATTTATTATCATTTAAAAAAAATGTTAGGGAAAGCAAGAAAGCAAGCCACCAGGTCTAGGACTCAAACTGTGGTTGGCTACAAGGGAGTCTAGTGCCATAACTACTACACCACCTGCTGGCTCCAAATAGATTTTTTTTAATGAGATATATTGCAAGGAATAAAAGGCAGTCATACACAAAAAAATTCATACTTCCTATATTTCAAAAGTCTTAATTAACGTAGATTATCTTTGGTGAGAACTATAGGGAGGGGGGAATTTAACTTTTAATGTTACACTTTCTGTGATACTGTTTAGATTAAAAAAAAAAACAAAAAAAAAAAACTATGAACATTGTGACCCTCAAAAACAAAAGAAATCAAACCGAAAAAAAAAAAAGAGAAGTTCAACATTGCCAAGATGAAAAGTCAAACAAAAAGGTTGAAAAATGAACAGAGTATGAAAGACAAAGTGGTAGCTATAAGCAAATAAGATCACCCAAATTATGTGGTTATAATTAGGTAAGACAGAAAGTTTAAAGGAATTACCTTCGTCACCAGGGGGAGCCTTTGCAGGCATCCTGTTGATAGTCCTCTGAGTCCGAGGTGCAGGTTTGGCTTTGTTGGCTTGTTTGGAGATAAGCTTTATGGGAATTCGTCTGCGAACATCGAGACCACCCAACGATCCAGAACTATTAGTGCCTTGTAACTCATTGTCTATGTTAGAAAAGAGATTACAACTTCTTTTAGCTTTTCTTTTTGAAGATTATTCTGCTACGGATTTTAAAACACCATATCCAACATTGTGGATAAGTTAAAGATCTGAGTTCAGATTTTAAAAATTATTTGTTATAAGTTTAATTGCTTAATTTCTGTTTTTAGATAAGCCCTTAAAACAAAGTCTTTTTAACTCTTTTTTTAAGACAGAATCCTTTAAGAAAATGATAAAGTTATAGAATCCCTAGCTAGAAAAGTGAATAAAACTTTCCATGTAATTATAGAGGAGTTTATAGAAACATAATAGCCTTCATGAGGTGAAGATAAGAACCTCCATCTTGAAGTAACTATGAGTTTGTTTTGTTTTGTTTTTAAAGAAAAGAGAACCAGGCCAGCTTGTGGTCTGGTACTTAAGGCAGCCAGATCTCATATGGCCAATCACATGGTTTAAGTCCTGGACCCAGTGGCTTGAAAAGCACACCAGGCATGCAAGCCCCAAATCTAGAATGCTGGAAACAAAAGAAGAGGGATTGTGGTGACACGCACACAAGGGGGGGGAAGGAAGGCTTTCTTCTTTCCCTCTCTGCCTATCTCTGGCAAGCACATGCACCTTCTAGCAAAACAAAAGAAAGAAAAAGTACAATGACTGAGGAAAAGAAACCAAACTATCCCTTATCTCCATGTCTGATCATCAAGCATATAAAGCAGGCACTCAATAAATCCAGTAAACTGAAGTTACATCAAGACAACCAATAAAACAGAAACAAAAAACTAACACGGACAAAGCCAAAATTAAGTAACACATGCAAAAACTCAGTCAGTGTTAAGGAAGGTGATTAGTTCCTTAAATGTAAAATGTTTTTTCTAAAAAGCATTCAGGAATGTATCAATAGTATAAACTACACCATTTAGTAGTGGAAAAATGTAATAATATGTCTGTGTTATAACATTTTTAGAGATACATGTGACTAAGTTATTCTTAGTCAACACTGTAACAAAAAGTTCTAATTTAAGAGGATGCAAGCTTTCTGTACTTCACCCAGATCTAAATCAATACTTCCTAGTCCCTATAGTGTTTGCTTGTTAATATGAATGAAATGAGTTAACTCATGTCCCATAAGTAAAAGGAGCATTATTTCATAACTAATTCAATCTAAAGTTTAGGTTACCCTTTTTCAAGTAAGTATATGCAATAGATATACAGAAAACAATCAACTTTATCTACTAAACATAAAAATGCTCTAAAAATGCAAATGAAACAATTCTTTTAAAACTGTAATGTTTTAAACATGACAAATTACAGAATATAACTATGTAACTGTCCTTGCAGGAAATAGTATACTCATGAAGATGGTCAAACTCCATAAAACCAAATTTGGAAGTAGTAAGCTAGTACTAGTGACCTCTAAGGCTACTAGGATTATAGACACAAATTCATAAAAAAAAAATTTTTTAATGATGGAAGGTATGTTTATTGCCCATTACACATTTTGAAACACACTATACCCCATATACAGGTACAAGTATTATATGTAAATTAGAAATTGTAACAATTAAAAAAAAAAAGTAATCCTCAAGGCCAGCAGGTGGTGTGGTGATTAAGACACTGGATCCCAGGGTCAGCAGGTTAAGGTGCTGGACTCCCACATGGCCAATTACACTTTGGGTCCTAGATCTGGTAGCTTGTTTTCTCACCTTCTCTCTCTCTCTTCCCCTCTAGTAAGCACATGGACCCTGGAGCAAATTAAAAATTAATAATAATAAAACTAATAAATCATTCTTAACAAAAATAAATAAATAAATAAGACACAGGATCCCAAATGGCCAACTCTGCGGTTCAAGTCTCAGACCCAGTGGCCTGAAAAACATGACAGGCAGACAGGCACATGTACATGCATGTCCAAAACCATGAGAGGAGAATGGAGGAGAAGGAATTAGAGCTTTGCCATCCCCCTGGGGTGGGGGTGGGGGTGAGTTCTCACTTTTTCTCTCTTTCTCTCTCTGTCCAGCAAGCACATACACAATATAGCCCCCGGCCAAGAAAAAAAAAAAGTATCCCTGACTTACCAATGAACTTAAAAGCAAGGTGAGACTGGCCCTGTAGCCTAGCAGTTAAGGGAGCCAGATCCCATATGGCCAATGATGGTTCAAATCTTGGGCCTAGCAGTATGAAAAATATGTCAGGGTTGAAAAACACGTCAGGATTGTGTGTGTGTGTGTGTGTGTGTGTGTGTGTGTGTGTGTGTTCCCTAAATTCTGAAAGGATGGAAAAATAGAGAATGGACTGCAGCATGACCACACCCCATTCGGGGGTTAGGGAGAGGTACTTTCTCCCTCTCCCCCTAGCAAATGCAAGCACTTTCTGGCAACTAAAGGAAAAAACTTGTTGTAGACAAATAGCTAATAGTTCCACGTGTCCCCAGACAGTAAAAAGACTCCTTTAACAGTTTTACCTATGTAAACTATATGAAATACCAACGATTCATTACTACAAATCCCTTTCACACTCCCCTGAACACCTGAGGTCTCTGCTGTAATTTGCATAGTCTATCATTTTCAAGAACCTGCTGCCTCTTAACACTTTGTTGGCCTCATAGATTGCAAATTCATAAAGCATTTAATTATGATGACATTGGGGGTTTGTGCTTTTCTTTCTGTTGTTTTTAAATTAAGAATCAGAACATAGAACACAATTTTCTTTTGAATACAGTAATAAAACAAAGCCTATAACAACAAAAGTCCCTGGGCATTATATAGAAAGTGAGAACTAAAGATGATTGCCCATTTAAGGTGAATCCACTTTAAGAAAGAGTAACACTTTTATTTTAAATCGGGGTTTTTTGTTTGTTTGTTTTTGTTACAGAGTGTGTGCACTTGCCAGAGACAGAGAGAGAGAAAGAGAGAAAGAGAGAGAGAGAGAAAGTGCAAAATCACTCCCTAAAGGAGATAGTCATGCTGTAATCCCTTCTCTTCCATTCTCCTCTTAGGATTTGGGACATTCACACATGTGCCCAGTGTGTTTTTTCAAACTACTGGGTCCAGGACTCAAACCATAGTCAGCCATGTGAAATCCAGCCACATTAACCTCCAGGCCACCTGGTGGCCTATAAGTAGTTTTACAAAAGATTTAGTTAAGATTTTATCTTTAATAAAAGAAACCAAGAATTATTTTACTACATTTAGCTACAATTACAAACTTGCTAATTGTTGGAATGAGAAAAAAACGCATCAAATGTTATAGAAGTTTCTACACGTCATTTTTCTGGCAAAATTCTATTAAAAGTTTCACATTTTATGTCTGAATTTTTCAGCATGATCATAAAATAGGCCATTTTTGCACAGTATTCCAGGTTTCATCAATTTTCCCAAGGGCATCTAGATCTTTTGATGTTAAAAATCATTCCTTTGAGATGGCTATCTGGTCATGTCTTTAACTGAGTAGCTAAATGACATTTTCTCATTTGCCAATGGCTTTATTTGTGAATCGGTTATAGTTACCACATTCATGTGTATGAATTTCATAAAAACCTGAGTCTTCGACAAACTTTCTAATCTTACCTCACAATGCACAGCATTTGAACTGTCTCTTGATATGAAATATCAAAGAGAATGACTCATAACGAAATGGAAAGAACAGAAGCTAGTCTTAAACAGAAGGGATGTCCAAACGGGAACCAAGTTTTTAAAAGATCAGCTCATTGGTCAGTCTTTTCATGTCAGGGTGACTTTTACTTCCTTGGGAACCGTGCAACTTAGAAAACTAGGATAATAAAATACTCTTACACACCCATCTATTATGTATTACCATTTCCTAACAGCCTCTAAACTGTGGCGGGGCCATATTCCAATAATAGATTCAAAAGAGGAATAACTTGCTGAATTTAAAGTTTGTTACTCTATTATCAATATCCCAGAATTTCAACTCTAAAATTTACAAACACTGAAATTCTTAAGAGACTGACTCTAGGTCCATTCCTCTTTTGTACTCACTTGCCTTAGGTGATTTCATGCTTTAAAATACATTACTAACTCCGGAATACGTATTTCCTGTCCATGTCTTCAATAGACATCTCCCCTACGTTTCAGCACACACCTCATACTTAGCAATCCAAAACTAAACTTGCTCCTAATGCCCATGATCCATCTCTACTCCTTCAGAAAGTGTTTTCTCCCAAGTTTTCCCCAACTCAGTAACGGATACTAAGGAGTGGCTTTCTCCAACCAGAAACCTCAGAATTTCTTTCTCTAACATCTCTAAACCAATCCATCAATCTATGCTTGTTTAAAAAAAAAAAATTATTGGGACCAGCAGTTAGCGTAATGGCTACACTGCTGGAACTCCCAGTCGTAGAGTCCCAGATCCGGTGGCTTAACTCACACCAGGCGCATGTGCGTGCATGCGTGTCCAAGATCCTGAGAGGAGAATGGAGGAGAAGGGATTGCGGTGTGGTCATCCCCCCTGGGGGTTCTTTCTCGCTTTCTATCTCTCTCTCTGGTGAGTGCACACATCCTATAGCAAAAACTTCTCAAAAAAAAAAAAAAAGGAATTATTTATTTCATCTAGTTTACTATTATTATTATTATTATTATTCTGTAGGACTCACGAGAAACAGAGAGAGAGACAGAGAAAGTGAGAAAGCAAGCTGCCAGGCCTGGAACTTGAACCTATGATCAGCCATGTGGGAGTCCAGCACCTTAACCATGTCACCTGCTATCCCCTCCATCTGTGTGAGTTCTATCACCAAAATATTTAATGAACTTGCCCATCCCCCTTCATTTTCGCTAAACCAAGTCACCTTCACGAAATCAAGTCTCTATTCTTACCTACTGCAATCATTTCCTAAACTGTATGTTTCTATTATTCCTGCCTCCCTCTCTTACACCATTCTCCATAGAAGCAGCCTACTGGGGCCAGCCCTTGGCATGGTGGTTAAGGCAGCTTGATCCTACATGGCCAACTGTGCAGGTGGAGTCCCAGACTAGTCAGCCTGGGGGGGGTGGGGGTGGGGGGAGACAGACATGCCAGGCATGTGTGCATGCCTGCCCAAAATTTCCAGCAAAGAATGAAGAAGAAAGGACTGCAGTGTGGCCATCCTCCTTGGCAGGTTCATTCATTCTCATCCCCTCCTCCCTGTAGCAAGCACACACACCCTAGAGGAAAGAACCTATTATATCTTGAAAGGAGATTATGTTCCTCCTCTAGTTCTGTTATATGGCTTCATATCCACTTATACTAAAACTGAAGACAGTAGAGCAGTGCTAAATCATACTCTGCAAGGCTGACTCACAAAGGAAAGTTCTGGGTTCATGTCCAGATACCTCCCTGAATACACCAGGTAAACGTATGCCTGAGATCCAGGGTTGGTTAAAGCTGAGGGACGGATTGTGGTATCAAGGCCCTATTGTGGGTTCTCTCTCTCTCTCATTCATAGAAAAATGAATAAACTTTAAAAACAACCAACCAACAAATCCGCAACCAACCAAACATCTCATACCTTTACCATGGCTTTCAAAGACCTAAACATGACTTCTGCCTTTCCAATCTCATCTTGCTGAAAAGGCTGAAGTCAATTGACCTCTATATTTTCCCACCTCGCTGCACTTGATGGAAATGCTCTTCCTCTTGCTTTACTCCATGGCTGAATTCCTCTTATCCATCAGACCTCAGCTTAAATGCTACCTTTCCAGAAAGACCATTCTTGGCCACCCTCTCTGAAACTGCCTATTACTCTTTCCAGAGCACCAGCTTATTTGCTTCAAAACACTCACCACAATCTATAAACACTTAGTTCAAAAAAAATATATATATTGTTTATTGCCTGTCTTCTCAACAGAATGTAATTTCTATGAGGACAGGAACTTAGTCATGTTGTTTACCACTCTATCATTCCATCACTAGGCCTGCAAATATGTAGCATAAACAAACAACTAAACTTATACACCCATATAACTATATAACTAAGTAGATATTTGATAACTGACGACATTCCAGTTAATACCTAAGAAAAGGCCACTAACTCATAGTGCATTCTTTCAATATATATTTTAAACACACACATACACACACGACAGAAAACAAAAACAGACAAACAAAACACATAACAAAGGGCGGAGTAACCCTTACTTGGAGAAAGAGATGAGACTGTCTTGATTTTAAGCTTTCCTTTATAAATGCCCACAAATGACGATGAGTAAAAACCACAGCAAAAGTGTGGGGCGTGCTTTAGGTTTAGCTAGAAAAGGTGCTCCGAACATGATCCCGAAAACTTATATCCGACTCCCTCCTGTCACTTCTAGTCCTTGAAGAACCGGAGAGACAATAACAAACGACAGGTGCTGACCACTGCAACACCCGCCCAAAGCTGAATGAGACAGAAGTCTCCAGCCTACTCTTGCCCATCCACCCGCAGCGCAATGAGGCTTCCCAGAGTCCGAGACTGAAGTCTACCGGCCAGTTCCCATAACGTAAGGCAGTACTATCGGAACCGGAATCAAAAAGCAGCCGGCGCTCTCCCCATCCCACGAGGCCTGCACCGCCCACCGTCCCGGCTCGGAGCTCAGCAGAACCAGACAAACTGCTGTTGCCGGCACCGAGGTGGGTACCGCACCGGAGGGTAGGCCGGGAAGTAGCAGGCCCCTGCCGAGCACAGGAAGGGGTCTGCGAGATTCCTTCCTTGCCGCCACACCCCAGCGTTGTGGGGAGAGCGGAATCCCTTTTGCCCGCTGGGCGACCAGTCCCAGACCGGCCGAGGGGGCATGGAACCGGGACCCCCACTGCCTCCGCCTCCTTACCAGTGTGATCCATGATTCGGCTCGCAGGGTACAGTGGGAGCGGAAGTCAACCGCGCCGGAGTCGCAGCCAGCGCGTGCGCGCTACCTTCCGGAGCCAGAAGGCGGAAGTGGACCAGGTGGCCCTGGTTTGGCCTGCACGGGCTTCCTTTTCTCGCCTCCGTTATCCTACTCCGGTGAGGGAGTCAGGCATTGTTAGGGCAGAGGCAGAAGGAGTATGGGAAGAATTTCGGGTAGAGGTTGCTAAGGCTTCTTCTCATGTGCTTTAAGAGAAATAGCCTTTAGCTGTAAAGGACACAGACGGAAACGGGACAGGTAGCGCCGCAGTAGCAAAGGAATAAGCTCGCGGCAGGTAAGGCGGTCGCGCGTCCCCGCGGACCGCTGCCTTCTGGGACTTGTAGTGCGCCGGGGTCCTGGAGCCGGCCTGGCACACTGCGCAGGCTCGGCCGTTGGGCTGGCCCCACCTCAGCGGGCGGAGTAACGGTTTGGAATCCCCCGGGGTCCGCGAGTCCCCATCTCTTCCCTCCGGTCTAGGGAAACTGTAAACACGCGCGCTCTGGAGGGTGCCCTCGGGTGGGAGGGTGCCCGGGGGGATGGCGGCGCTCCCAGGTAGAGAGAACGGTTCTGTGCATATTGTCTACGTTCCGCTTTGTCCTGACGAGCTGCCTGAACCCACGCGGAGCGGACTGGGGATAGCCTTTCACCCCCACCTCTAAGTTTCTAACGTTTGAAACACGTTGGTGATGCTTGTCTACCGCTCGTTTTCTAGAGAAGAGCGGCGGGAGGGGGCAGGCGGGTGCGGGCAGCCGACTCTTCCTGGGGGGCACCGCAGTGAGGTGCAGAGTGGAGCTGAAGGGGGGGGGGCAGAAACTGGGAGGTGAGAGCGCTCAGGCTTGGCCTAAAGTGAGAGGTGGAGAAGGAAAGGGCCAGAATGAGGAAGAGAGAGTTAACCACGGGCGGTACCTAGTTCCAATTCTTGGTCCCAGGAGTTTGTGGTTGCTGCTGCTTTCATCTTCCTCAGCCAAAACAAAAGGATGGTGCCAGAGGATGATCTTGAAGACCCTTCAGTGCTGTCTCCACCTCGAGGACTCTGCTCATTTGCGTCCACTCCCTTCTCCTATCCGTTACACTTGATGCTCTCGCAGGGTGGAAAGGAGCACAATTAGTGGAAAACACAAGCTCGGGAGTCAAGGGATTTGGGTTCTATTCTTGATGTCCCTTGGTGACGACATTACCTTGGGTTATTCACGCTTTCAGTCCTAGAGTATTTGAATCACTGAAAGATTATTGTATTGACCTCTTGAAATGATTTCATGGTACTGAGTTCCGAATAAAATATGTAGAACAGTGTGTTATGCCTATGTAGTTGTACAGTAACTGCTCTGTAAAATACTGTTTATCTATAGTAAAGTGCATGGGATTATTTTGTGGTGTTTTTGTTTGTTTGATTGGTTGGTTGGTTTGTTTTTGTTTTGAGAGAGAGATTTGCTGCAGGGTGGGAGTGCTCGCCAATGAGACAGAGACTGCAGTCCCTTTTCCTCCCCTCTCTTGGGATTTTTGGGCACGCACATATGATGAGCCGGGCATGAGTTTTAAGCCCCTGGGTCCGGAACTGGAACCACAATTGACTCTAGGAGTCCAGCGATGGTCGCCATCTGCTGGCCCCTTGGTGATAGTTTTATTGGAGGTTTTTACCATTCTTTTTTGGGGGGGAAGTTTTTAAAATTTATTTAATTTAATTATTATCATAATCTTTTTTTATTACATTGAATCACATATATCTTTACAGTGTATTATATTTCTTTTTCCAGAACGATTACCATGCATATTAGTCAAGACAATTACTATCACATCATCATCATCAAATAGCTTTTCATCATTTTTTTCATATTATTACTATTATTCTCATTTTTAAAATATTCAATCACTATATATCATTTGGCTTATAAAAAGAATTTACCCAACATGAAATACTTCTTAGAGCAGTCCAGTTGAGAATATTATACATGTAATCATCAACAGGTAATAAACTATTTCTGTGTCCCACTAATGTCATGCCTCTACCATTCTTGTCTGCAGATTTATAAACAAGTTTTTTAGATACATTCACAATTAAGCATGTTTGTAAATCAGAATTATCCCTCTTCTCATTAAGATGTAAACGTCTGTATTAGTGGTTTTCAACATGCTTTCAATTACGAGGATTATAATTTGGGGAAATGGGGACTTTTTTTTGGAGAGGTTTTTGCTATAGGACTTGTGCACTCACCAGAAAGACAGAGAAAGAGACAGAAAGTGAGAAATCACCCCCCCGGGGGGGGGGGAAATGGCCATGCTGCAATCCCTTCTTCTCCATTTTTCTCTTGTGATTTTGGGCATGCACGCACACACAACACCTGGCATGAGTTTAAGCCACCGGGTTCGGGACTTGAACCACGGTCAACTACATAGGAGTCTAGTGACATAGCCATTATGCCAACTGCTGGTCCCGGGTATAGGGGAAATTTAACCTTCCTCCATTTCATTCTATTTCTTAAGTACAGTGCTGATATGATTGGTTATTTTTTCACTGCATGGAGTATAAGAAAAGAGTTTTCACCTAAGAAGTGAGCCCTGCTTTTGCTATCATACTTAGCCTATCGTATCAATTAACCTTCAGATGGATGCAAATCCAGATTCAGAAAAATATTAGCATTAGTGTCTGCTGAGGCCAGTATTTAAAGAGTTACAATAAAAGAGAGCTTTGAAGTTTCACTTTATGCAACCTAAGCTGTAAATCAGAAGTTTTGTCAGCATTTTATGGTGCATTAAGTTAGGAAGATTTGCTAAGGGAAGACTGACTTATTTTAGATATGATAAAATGTTAAGCATTGGTTGCTTTATTTGACTTGGTATCTGTTACTTTCATATACTGCTTTAGCATCTGTGCTGTATGTTCATTTCTTTAATCATGGATGCCCCACCTTACCAATGTAGTAGCAATGTGACAAATTAATCTCTAACTAAATCAAATGTGAGACTGTGTATAGACTTATTACTACCCTCTAATATCCCTTACTAGTGCCATTTTTAGTGACCTATGTGTATATAATCAGTCACAATTTGTCAAAGGTCAGCTTTGATACAGACAGCGCCAGGGCAAGTGAGAGCCGGACGGGCGCTGGGTGACTCTGTGCCTCGAGGAGTAAAGATACCTAAACATGGGCAAAGGAGATCCTAAGAAGCCAAGAGGCAAAATGTCATCATATGCATTCTTTGGGCAAACTTGCCGGGAGGCGTACAAGAAGAAGCACTCAGATGCTTCAGTCAACTTCTCAGAGTTTTCTAAGAAGTGCCCAGAGAGGTGGAAGACCATGTCTGCTAAAGAGAAAGGGAAATTTGAAGATAAGGCAAAGGCGGATGAGGCCCGTTGTGGAAGAGAAATGAAAACCTATATCCCTCCTAAAGGAGAAACAAAAAAGAAGTTCAAGGATCCCAATACACCCAAGAGGCCTCCTTCGGCCTTTTTCTTGTTCTGTTCTGAATATAGCCCAAAAATCAAAGGAGAACATCCTGGCCTACCCATTGGTGATGTTACAAAGAAATTGGGAGAGATGTGGAATAACACTGGTGCAGATGAGAAACAGCCTTATGAAAAGAAGGCTGCTAAGCTGAAGGAAAAATACGAAAAGGATATTGCTGCATACCGAGCTAGAGGAAAGCCTGATGCAGCAAAAAAAGGGAGTTGTCAAGGCTGAAAAGAGCAAGAAAAAGGAGGAGGGAGGAAGACAAGGAAGATGAAGATGAGGAAGAAGAGGAAGATGAAGAGGAAGATGAAGAGGATGAAGAGGAAGATGAAGAGGATGAAGAAGATGATGATGAATAAGTTGGTTCTAGTGCAGTTTTTTTTTCCTTGTCTATAAAGCATTTAACCCCCCCACCCCTGGACACAACTCCTTTTAAAGAAAAAAATTGAATTGTAAGGCTGTGTAAGATTTGTTTTTAAACTGTACAGTGTCTTTTTTTGTATAGTTAACACACTACCGAATGTGTCTTTAGATAGCCCTGTCCTGGCGGTATTTTCAATAGCCACTAACCTTGCCTGGTACAGTGTGGGGGTTGTAAATTGGCATGGAAATTTAAAGCAGGTTCTTGTTGGTAGACTGCACAAATTAGGTAATTTTTTCATCTTCAGTTGTCTCTGATGCAGCTTATACGAAATAATTGTTGTTCTGTTAACTGAATACCACTCTGTAATTGCAAAAAAAAAAAAAAAGTTGCAGCTGTTTTGTTGACATTCTGAATGCTTCTAAGTAAATACAATTTTTTTAATTAAAAAAAGTCAGCTTTGATGTGTATTTATATAGTGTGGTAAAACTTAGGGTTTATGAAAATGAAAAATCATTGTAATGGACAATCTGAAGCTTAGAGGTATTTAAGTAGATGGTCTGTCAATATATTTTCATCTTATTGACAGACCATCTACTAGGCTACGAATTGTAAGCTAATTGTTTCCAGGGTGCTTTGATCAAAGGCCTTCTATTTACA